TTATTAAGACTGGATGGCCATCTGTTGTGGGTGATTTAATTGTGCTTCCTTTGCATGGCAGAAGGGAGTTGAACTAGATGGCCTCTGGGGTTTCTATTATTATTATTATTATTATTATTATTATTATTATTATTATTATTAAGACTGGATGCCATCTGTTGGGGATGCTTTAATTGTGCTTCCTTTGCATGGCAGAAGGAAGTTGATCTAGATGGCCCTGGGGTTTCTGCTATTATTATTATTATTATTATTATTATTAAGACTGGATGCCATCTGTTGGGGATGCTTTAATTGTGCTTCCTTTGCATGGCAGAAGGAAGTTGATCTAGATGGCCCTGGGGTTTCTGCTATTATTATTATTATTATTATTATTATTATTATTAAGACTGGATGCCATCTGTTGGGGATGCTTTAATTGTGCTTCCTTTGCATGGCAGAAGGAAGTTGATCTAGATGGCCCTGGGGTTTCTGCTATTATTATTATTATTATTATTATTAAGACTGGATGGCCATCTGCTGGGGGTGCTTTGATTGTGCCTCCTTTGCATGGCAGAAGGGAGTTGAACTAGATGGCCCTGGGGTTTCTGCTATTATTATTATTATTATTATTATTAAGACTGGATGCCATCTGTTGGGGATGCTTTAATTGTGCTTCCTTTGCATGGCAGAAGGAAGTTGATCTAGATGGCCCTGGGGTTTCTGCTATTATTATTATTATTATTATTATTATTAAGACTGGATGCCATCTGTTGGGGATGCTTTAATTGTGCTTCCTTTGCATGGCAGAAGGAAGTTGATCTAGATGGCCCTGGGGTTTCTGCTATTATTATTATTATTATTATTATTATTAAGACTGGATGCCATCTGTTGGGGATGCTTTAATTGTGCTTCCTTTGCATGGCAGAAGGAAGTTGATCTAGATGGCCCTGGGGTTTCTGCTATTATTATTATTATTATTATTATTATTAAGACTGGATGCCATCTGTTGGGGATGCTTTAATTGTGCTTCCTTTGCATGGCAGAAGGAAGTTGATCTAGATGGCCCTGGGGTTTCTGCTATTATTATTATTATTATTATTATTATTATTATTAAGACTGGATGCCATCTGTTGGGGATGCTTTAATTGTGCTTCCTTTGCATGGCAGAAGGAAGTTGATCTAGATGGCCCTGGGGTTTCTGCTATTATTATTATTATTATTATTATTATTATTATTAAGACTGGATGCCATCTGTTGGGGATGCTTTAATTGTGCTTCCTTTGCATGGCAGAAGGAAGTTGATCTAGATGGCCCTGGGGTTTCTGCTATTATTATTATTATTATTATTATTATTAAGACTGGATGCCATCTGTTGGGGATGCTTTAATTGTGCTTCCTTTGCATGGCAGAAGGAAGTTGATCTAGATGGCCCTGGGGTTTCTGCTATTATTATTATTATTATTATTATTATTATTATTAAGACTGGATGCCATCTGTTGGGGATGCTTTAATTGTGCTTCCTTTGCATGGCAGAAGGAAGTTGATCTAGATGGCCCTGGGGTTTCTGCTATTATTATTATTATTATTATTATTATTATTATTAAGACTGGATGCCATCTGTTGGGGATGCTTTAATTGTGCTTCCTTTGCATGGCAGAAGGAAGTTGATCTAGATGGCCCTGGGGTTTCTGCTATTATTATTATTATTATTATTATTATTAAGACTGGATGCCATCTGTTGGGGATGCTTTAATTGTGCTTCCTTTGCATGGCAGAAGGAAGTTGATCTAGATGGCCCTGGGGTTTCTGCTATTATTATTATTATTATTATTATTATTAAGACTGGATGCCATCTGTTGGGGATGCTTTAATTGTGCTTCCTTTGCATGGCAGAAGGAAGTTGATCTAGATGGCCCTGGGGTTTCTGCTATTATTATTATTATTATTATTATTATTAAGACTGGATGCCATCTGTTGGGGATGCTTTAATTGTGCTTCCTTTGCATGGCAGAAGGAAGTTGATCTAGATGGCCCTGGGGTTTCTGCTATTATTATTATTATTATTATTATTATTATTATTATTATTATTATTAAGACTGGATGGCCATCTGCTGGGGGTGCTTTGATTGTGCCTCCTTTGCATGGCAGAAGGGAGTTGAACTAGATGGCCCCTGGGGTTTCTGTTGTTGTTGTTATAATTATTATTACAAAGGCTAGATGACCATCTGTTTGGGGTACTTTGTGTTTTTCCTACATGGCAGAAGGGAGTTGAACTGGATGGCCATCTGTTTGGGGGTGATTTGATTGTGCTTCCTTTGCATGGCAGAAGGGAGTTGAACTGGATGGCCCCTGGGGTTTCTGCTATAATAATAATAGTTATTGTTATCGTTGTTATTATTATTATTATAAAAGCTGTATGCCCATCTGCTGGGGATGCTTTGATTGTGCCTTTCCTGTATGGCAGAAGGGAGTTGAACTGGATGGCCTCTGGGGTTTCTGCTATAATAATAATAATAATAATAATCTGATCTACACTGCAGAATTAATGCAGTTTTGGCACCACTTTAACCACCATGGCTCGATATTATGAAATCATGGCATGCACCCTGCGTCTCCCAAACGGGTGTAAACAACAGGCCAAAAACCCAAGGGAAGTCTGACGGATTCCCACGCAGAAACTTGCCGCTCCCACGCATTTTCTGAAACTTGATAAAGGGACAGTGAGTAATTTTTGACTCACAGGGAAGAAGAACGCAATTCCACTTTGCAACTTTGCAACGGCGCGTGGGCGTCTGCATGCAAATCTGGCTCGCTGGGTGCCAACATGGAGCCTAATGATAATGTGATTTTAGCTTTGTTGTAACCTGCCTCGAGCCACAAGGAGACGAGGGTTAAAACATTTAAAAAAAAACTGGCTCCGAAAGTGCAGGGCCTCAAGGCTAGTCAGAGGAGCCAGAAGTAGCAACAGCAGATAAGGAATCGAGCAAAGAGCTGATTGAAAGTGCCAACATGGAGCCTAATAATTCTGTGATTTTAGCTTTGTTGTAACCTGCCTCGCACCAGGAGAAGACCAGGGTTAAGACATTTAAAAAAAAACTGTCTCGGAAAGTGCAGGGCCTCAAGGCCAGTCAGAGGAGCGAGAAGTAGCAACAGCAGATAAGGAATCGAGTGAAGAGCTGATTGAAAGTGCCAACATGGAGCCTAATAAATCTGTGATTTTAGCTTTGTTGTAACCTGCCTCGAGCTATGAGGAGACGAGGGTTAAGACATTTTAAAAAACCATCTCGGAAAGTGCAGGGCCTCAAGATCAATCAGAGGAGACAGAAGTAGCAACAGCAGATAAGAAATCGAGTGAAGGACTGATTGAAAGTGCCAACATGGAGCCTAATAATTCTGCAATTTTAGCTTTGTTGTAACCTGCCTCGAGTCATGAGGAGACCAGGGTTATGACATTAAAAAAAAACTGTCTCGAAAGTGCAGGCCTCAAGGTCAATCAGAGGAGCCAGAATTAGCAACAGCAGATAAGAAATCGAGTGAAGAGCGGATTGAAAGTGCCAACATGGAGCCTAATAATTCTGCGATGTTAGCTTTGTTGTAACCTGCCTCCAGCCACGAAGGGACGAGGGTTAAGACATTAAAAAAAAACTGTCTCGAATAGTGCAGGGCCTCAAGGTCAATCAGAGGAGCCAGAACTAGCAACAGCAGACAAGGAATCGAGTGAAGAGCTGAGTGAAAAGGAGGGTTCCACCTGTAGCTACAGAATTCAACCAAAGTCTTTGTTTACAAATCAGAGCTGTAAATAGATTACGTCTGTTGGAAAGATTACGTGGGAAAGTTGGGGAGAAAATTCATGGAAGACATAATGCTTTCATGCGTGTCTATTAAACAAGTTGTTTACCTTAAGGGCAGTTCAGGCAACGCTGTGTTAGAGTGAGAATCTAAGCTTGAGTTCTCTTGTTCTTGGTTCAAGTCAAGCCTTGGTTTTGGATTTTAATATCCTGGAAGTTTTCTATGTTGCTAAACCTATTTGGACATTTTTTTAAAAAAATATTATTATTATTATTATTATTATTATTATTATTATTATTATTATTGCTATTATTATTGGAGGCTCACCTGACCTGGCTCATCTTGTCCGTTTCGAACCAATTTTTGCTGAAATATGTCGAAAGATCTATCCTTTTCTTCCTACATCACTTCTACCTCCAAGTTGCACCTGTCAAGTAACAATTGAAGTCTATTACATTAATAGTCTAGCTTGCTGTTGACCTATGCAGCCCGAAAGACAGTTGCATCTGTCATGTAACAATTAATAGTCTAGCTTGCTGTTGACCTATGCAGCCCGAAAGACAGTTGCGCCTGTCAAGTAACAATTGAAGACTATTACATTAATAGTCTAGCTTGCTGTTGACCTATGCAGCACGAAAGACAGTTGCACCTGTCAAGTAACAATTGAAGATTATTACATTAATAGTCTAGCTTGCTGTTGACCTATGCAGCACGAAAGACAGTTGCATCTGTCAAGTAACAATTGAAAACTATTACATTAATAGTCTAGCTTGCTGTTGACCTATGTGGCCCGAAAGAGAGTTGCATCTGTCAAGTAGGAAATTTAGGTACCACTTTTTTACTATTTTACGACGCCATAAAACCTTCCAGCAGCATGCAGAAGAATGAGGAAGTACTCCATCAAATGACCCAGTGTCACAAGTGGACTGTGAAGCGGCGGCTCCCCCTGTGGCCGGAACCGAGCATACCCTCGTGTAGCCGGAAAAAGCTGAAATGTTAAATTGCCTCTGGATCTGTCTATATATGTTGTATGTCTACATGGCATTGAATGTTTGCCACATATATGTGCCTTGTGATCCGCCCTAAGTCCCCTGCGGGGTGAGAAAGGCGGAATATAAATACTGTAATAATAAATAAAATAATAATAAATAATAAATATAATACTAATAAAATAAATAAATAATGATAAAATAAATAAATAATATAATATAATAAAATAAATAATAAAAGCATTATCAATTGGGGAGATGCGGAAATATTTTAATAATATTTATTATTATTTTTGTATTGCCTAGGGTGCCTTTTTGTGGTTCTGGAAGGCCCTCGAGATAGATCTCAAATAATAAATAAATAAACAGAAAATAAAACGAGCCCGCAGCATCCAATTCCTTGCCCCAAGCTCCAATTCCATCGGCTTCAGTGGAATTGCTGGAATTGCAGAAATTGCAGCGTAGACAATTCCAAGTCTGCAAATGAGTCTCCCAGATTTCTCGCTTCGTGGCACAATGAGGACTAGGATCTTGAGACAGAGACAAAACTTGTAGAGACGTGGCGAAACCAGCAGCCTTGCACTCACTTTGGTTTGCTTCTTGCCTTGTGCGGATGCTATAAATCAGCTCCAAAGAGCTCCTCGGCGTTCCTGGCCCGAATCTCCTGCAACTCTTTGAGCCGGCATAAGACTGCGTTGACATCCCGTTCGCCATGTCGGTGACCGTCTCGGCTACGGACGTTCAGGGTGCGGTTGGACATCTCTTTCCGCCCGACGACTGGATGAGAAACGAGGAGGAAAAGAAGGGAAAAGCATCTAATGTCATAAAGGCGACTTCACTGTTGCAAAGATAACACAAAACAGGTGTATTTGCAGGGCCTCAAGGTCAGTCAGAGGAGCCAGAAGTAGCAACAACAGATAAGGAATCGAGTGAAGAGCAAAGTGATAAGGCGGGAGAACACAAAAAGTGTGAATTTGCCTTGGGAAAGATTTTGAGTGCTGTTGATCAGCCAGAGGCTGAGCCCTCAATTTTGGGAAATTCCAGGCTAGGACATTATTGTTCTCTCTGGGATAAAACTGGCTCAGAAAGTGCAGGACCTCAAGGCAAGTCAGAGGAGCCAGAAGTAGCAACAGCAGATAAGGAATTGAGTGAAGAGTGAAAAGGAGGGTTCCACCTGTAGCTACAGAATTCAACCAAACTCTTTGTTTACAAATCAGAGCCGTAAATAGATTAATAAATGCTGCTCTGGCCAGAGTGAAGAGAGACGGGGGCAACAGTCGATCCGGATTTCCTAAAAATTTCCTAAAAATCAGTGGATGAGCAGATCTTTCTGAAACTTGGCAGGAATGATGCCCTACTCCCGTTCTGTTGCTATGGAGAAATTCCAGGAGATACCTATTTTGTTTATTTTTTTAAAAAAATGTTATTGGAAAAAATGTTTAAAAAAATCTAAAAAATCAGTGGAAGAGCGAAATGTTATGAAACTTGGCAGACTTGCAGTGGTAAATTTCAGCCCGATAGCTATAAAAATAACAGGGAAATGAGCCTGTCAGAGCTTGGGGGCAACCACCAAAAAGACCATCTCCCATGCAATAATGCTCTGGATCTTAATTTTGCTCAGGGTGAATCTCAGCCATCTTTTGCACACACACCCTCTTCAAAAAAGGCATTCCCTGTCATCTTTTTCTGCCTTCTAGTGCAGCTTACCAAACTGGAAGTTGTACTGAGCCAGTTGGGCTTTCCGGATCTTGCGATTGAGGGTCGTTCCCGGGTCCAAATCCACGTCAGTTGTGAATCCCGCTTGGTGGAAGATCTGGCGGATCTGAAATGCCCCCCCCCCCAAAAAAAGAGGCCCATTAACAAACAGCTGGACTTGCAAAACAACAACAACAACAATTCGCCAAAATGGCCAGCACTTTTTTCTAGTTATTTGACCACAAGGAACATCATAGCATCTTAAAAACTTTTCTTTTTAAAAGTACATCTGAATAAGAAGGTTTTCACCTGCTGCCAGGACAAAAGTGAAGGAGCTGAGGCTGGGTGGCCATCTGTAGGAGGGCTTTGATTGTGCCTTCCTGCCTGGCAGACTGGGGCTGAACTGGATGACCTTTGTTGGAAGCCTTGCAACTCTAGGATTTGATGATTCTCTATCTGTCTGTCTGTCTGTCTGTCTGTCTGTCTATCTATCTATCTATCTATCTATCTATCTATCTATCTATCTATCGAGGCCGGATGGTCATCTGTCAGGAGGGCTTTGATTGTGCCTTCCTGCCTGGCAGAATGGGGCTGAACTAGATGACCTTTGTTGGACCCCTTGCAACTCTAGGAGTTGATGATTCACTCTCTATCTATCTATCTATCTATCTATCTATCTCCCTCTTTGGGTGCCGGATGGTCATCTGTCAGGAAGGCTTTGATTGTGCCTTCCTGCCTGGCAGAATGGGGCTGAATTAGATGACCTTTGTTGGACCCCTTGCAACTCTAGGATTTGATGATTCTCTCTCTCTCTCTCTATCTATAGAGGCCAGATGGTCATCTGTTGGGAGGGCTTTGATTGTGCCTTCCTGCCTGGCAGAATGGGGCTGAATTAGATGACCTTTGTTGGACCCCTTGCAACTCTAGGATTTGATGATTCTCTCTCTCTCTCTCTCTATAGAGGCCGGATGGTCATCTGTTGGGAGGGCTTTGATTGTGCCTTCCTGCCTGGCAGAATGGGGCTGAACTGGATGACCCTTGGGGGATCCCTTCCAACTCTCAAATGCTATGTTTTTATGATCCATTGAGCAATGGCTCTTCCAGTCTCCGCCTCTTCCTTACCTCGTGGGCATAGTTCTCTGCGTCCGGCCCAACCGGGATCACCATGATTTGAGATGGCGACAACCAGAACGGCCTGCAGGGTCAACAGGAAGAGAACACATTCAATAGGGCTCAATTCCTATCGAAGAGTGTTTGGAGAGATCGATGAATGGTTTGGTCAATGATTTTCAGGCAGACAATGACAGAGAGGCCCCAGTGCAAAGGGCAGTTTCTCATGAGAATATCCCTGCTGGGCCTAGCAATGATGGCTCACTCCCTCTCTCTGTGAACTCTCAAGATTTGGGTTTGGAAAATAATCTGAGACCTGGGAATTTTAATGAGTAGCCAGATAGGAAGATGAAGAATAGGCGGCTGGAGATTAGCCAGGATCGACAGCAAACTCAGTGTTTACGTCTGATAAGGGGTAAATGTGGAGGAAAGCGAAACCAATTTCTGAGTTTTGGGATATAAGCTTTGCCTCAAGAGGAGGCCTGTTAGATCAGGCATCGTTTGGAAACCAAGTTCATGCGCCATGGAAATCCTGTTCAAGGGGTCTTCTTCCTGTGGAGTTTTGTAGCCTTTTGGATTGTCTTTGCATCCTGTTGATTCCTGTCTGGATTAATGCTGTCTTGGATTGCTTTTATTTCTTGTGTGGACATTGCTTTGTGTTACTGCCTTTTATGGACTTATTACTTTTTGGAACTTTCTTATTTTCTTAAAAGCATTTATTTCTTCAGTAAACAGGGATTGAGAGAACGATACAGGCAACGTATCCCACCGTCACTCACCATTTGCCGCCATAGTTCTCTGCCAAGACGGCCATCATCCGCTCCACGGAGCCCAGCACTGCACGGTGGATCATCACTGGTCTCTCCGACGTGGCGCTCTCTTTGCTGCGTGGGTAGGAAGAACTATGTCACATTGCCAAGGAAGATATATACAAACAGTCCCCAAGACCTCGCAACCTCGGAGGATGCCTGCCATAGATGTAGGCGAAACATCAGGAGAGAATGCTTCTGGAACATGGCCAGACAACCCGGAAAACATACAACAACCCAGTCCCCCAAGTTACACACAAGATAGGTTGTGTAGGTTTGTCCTTAAGCTGAATTTGTATGTAAGTCAAAACAGGTACTTTTTAAGTCCGGCGGTATTGTAATGCGGAGGGAAGGCAACACGGGAACTTTGTTATTGTTGTTGAACGATTTCATGGCTGGAATCACTAGGTTGCTGTGAGTTTTCCGGGCTGTCCAGCCATGTTCCAAAAGCATTCTCTCCTAACGTTACGCCCGCATCTATGAGCTCACAACCCCTGATGCCTGGCATGGATGTGGGCGAAATGTCAGGGGAGAATGCTTCTGGAACATGGCCAGACAGCCCAGAAAGCTCACGGCAACCCAACTAGGTGACATGTAGATGATGTGAAAGAAGGAAGGAAGGAAGGAGGAAGAGATGTAGGGAAGGGAGAAAAAGAAGGGAAGAGAAAGAAAAAAAAGAAAGAAAGAAAGAAAGAAAGAGGAAAGGTGTGTGAAGGAAAACAAGGGAAAAAGAAAACAAAAATAGGAAGGAAGGAAAACAGAAGGTGTATGAACAAAAGCAAAGGAAGAAGAAAAAGAAAAAAAGAAAGAAAGAAAAAAAGGGGGAAGGTGTGTGAAGGAAAACAAGGGAAAGAAGAAAAAGAAAAAAAGAAAGAGGAAAGGTGTGTGAAGGAAAACAAGGAAAGAAGAAAAAATAGGAAGGAAAGAACAGAAGGTGTATGAGCGAAAGCAAAGAAAGAATAAAAAAAGAAAGAAAGAAAGGGGGAAAGCAAAGAAAGAATAAAAAGAAAGAAAAAAGAAAGAAAGAAAGAAAGGGGGAAGGTGTGTGAGAGAAAACAAAGGAAAAGGAAAAAGAAGGAAAGAAGGAAGAATGAAAGAAAGAATGAAAGTAAGAAAGAAAGAAAGAAAGAAAGAAAGAGGAAAGGTGTGTGAAGGAAAACAAGGGAAGAAGAAAACAAAAATAGGAAGGAAGGAACAGAAGGTGTATGAACAAAAGCAAAGGAAGAAGAAAAAGAAAAAAAGAAAGAAAGAAAAAAAGGGGGAAGGTGTGTGAAGGAAAACAAGGGAAGAAGAAGAAAAAGGAAGGAAGGAAGCAAGGGAAGGTGTATGAGGGAAAGGAAGGAAAGAGAAAAGGAAAAAGGAAGGAAGGAGGAAAGGGAGGAAAAGAAACAAAAAAGAAAGGAAGTCGGTGAGGGAAAGCAAGGGAAGAAGGGAAAAAAGGAGGGGGGAAGGTATGTGAGGGAAAACAAGGGAAGAAGAAGAAAAAGGAAGGAAGGAAGTAAGGGACAGACGGAGGGAAGGTGTATGAGGGAAAGCAAGGGAAGAAGAAAAAGGAAGGAAGAAAGAAAGAAAGAAAGAAGATGTGTGAGGGAAAACAAGTGAAGAAGGAAGGAAGGATGGAAAGATGAGGGAAAGCAAGGGAAGAAGAAAAAGAAAAATAGAAAGAAAAAAGGGGCAGGTGTTTGCCGGAAAGCAAGGGAAGATGAAAAAGAAAGAAGGAAGGAAGGAAGGTTTGTGAGGGGAAAACAAGCAAAGAAGGAAGAAAGGAAGGAAGGAAGGGAAGAAGAAAAAGAAAAACAGAAAGAAAGAAATAAGGGGAAGGTGTAAGACGGAAGCAAGGGAAGAAGAAAAAGAAAAAAAGGAAAGGAAGGAAGGAAGGAAGGAAGGAAAGCAAGGGAAGAAGAAAAAGAAAGAAAAAAGGGGGGAGGTGTGAGGAAAAAGGGAAGAAGAAAAAGAAAAAAGGAGGAAGGAAGGAAGAAAAGAGAAGGAAGGAGGAGGGAAAAAAGAAAGAAGGAAAGGAAGGAAAGGGAGGGAAGCAAAAAGGAAGGAAGGAAGGAAGGAAAGATGAGGGAAAGCAAAGGAAAAAGAAAAAGAAAAAAGAAAGGAAGAAAAAAGGTGTGTGAGGGAAAACAAGGGAAGAAGAAAAAGAAAAAAGGAAGGAAGGAAGGTGTGTGAGGGGGAAAAAGCGAAGAAGGAAGGAAGGAAGGAAGGAAGGAAGGAAAGATGAGGAAAAGCAAAGGAAGAAGAAAAAGAAAAAGAAAGGAAGAAAAAAGGTGTGTGAGGGAAAACAAGGGAAAGAAGAAAAAGAAAAAAGAAGGGGGAAAGAGGGAAGAAAAGAAAAAGGGAAGGAAGGAAGGATGAAGGAAAGCAAGGAAAGAAGAAAAAGAAAAAAGAAGGAAAGAAGGAAGAAGGAAGGAAGGTGTGTGAGGGAAAACAAGCGAATAAGGAAGGAAGGAAGGAAGGGAAAGCAAGGGAAGAAGAAAAAGAAAAAAGAAAGGAAGGAAGAAAAAAGGTGTGTGAGGGAAAACAAAGGAAGAAGAAAAAGAAAAAAGGAAGGAAGGAAGGTGTGTGAGTGGGAAAAAGCGAAGAAGGAAGGAAGGAAGGAAGGAAGAGGGAAAGCAAGGGAAGAAGAAAAAGAAAAACAGAAAGAAATAAGGGGCAGGTGTATGACGGAAAGCAAGGGAAGAAGAAAAAGATAAAAGTGGAAGGCAAATAAATATAATCATCATTATCTTCGCCATCTACTTTGATTCTGGTTTGCCTTGTCCCAACCGGTGGTTCGACCGAGGCGATTGCAACCAGCATTTCCTGTCCACCATGAGGACTGGGAACTTGGCAAACAAAACACTGAGGGTTGTTGTATTTTATTATCTGGTTGCAAAGGAGCGACTTGTTCTATCTGGCTACTTGAGGTGGTGGTGGGGGGGGGGGCGCAGTTCTGGATGGCCATCTGCCAGGGGGTGCTTTGATTGGACCAACACCGGATTTTCGTCCAAGCTAGGAAAATGGTGCCCTGCGAGGCGGGCGCCTCATCCCTTTCCCTCGCCACTTCCCCTTTCCTTGTATTTTGGTTTCGAAAGTGAGCCTTGCGAAAAGGGGAAGCGCGGCGCGGCCAGAGCACCTCTGATGGCGTCGTTTGACGGCTCTTTGCGGCAAGATGTTTTTCTCCGAGAAAGGGTGACGCACCACTTATGAGCTCGTGTGTTGTAGTTCTGTTATGACAACGTTCTCGCGGCAATGGTGGATGGTGGGCCATTCAGTCCTAGCTCTACACAAACTTCATGTTTACAGGTTGAGTCAAGAGCAGTCTTGGAAACCAGAGGTGAAGAAACTCAAGTGAAAGGTCTGCACGTCCACAGTTTGAGTCTTGGGAAACTGGGCAAACATGACCAATACATATTTCTGGCCTTAGTGTGTGTCTACACTGTAAAATAAATACAGTATGACACCACTTTAAGAGCTGTGACTCTATTTCAATGTTTCTCAACCTAGGGGTTGGGACCCCTGAGGAGGTTCTGTGTGGGAACTTTGGCCCAATTCTATCATTGATGGGGTTCAGAATGCTCTTTGTTTGTAGGTGAACTATAAATCCCAGCAACCACAACTCCCAAATATCTATTTTCCCCAAACTCCACCAGTGTTCACATTTGGGCATACTGAATATACACGCCAAGTTTCGTCCAGATCCATCTTTGTTTGAGTCCACAGTGCTCTTTGGATGTAGGTGAACTACAAATCCCAAACTCAAGGTCAATGCCCACCAAACCCTTCCAGTATTTTTTGTCAGTCATGGGAGTGTTCTGTGTGTCAAGTTTGGTTCAATTCCATCATTGGTGGAGATCAGAATGTGCTTTGATTGTAGGCGAACTAGAAATCCCAGCAACTATTTTCCCCAAACTCCACCAGTGTTCACTTTTGGGCATATTGAATATTCATGCCAAGTTTTGTCCAGATCCAGCATTGCTTGAGTCCCCATGCTCTCTGTATATATGTGAACTACAAATCCCAAACTCAAGGTCAAAGCCCACCAAACCCTTCCAGTATTTTTTGTCGGTCATGGGAGTGTTCTGTGTGCCAAGTTTGGTTCAATTCCATTGTTAGTGGAGTTCAGAATGTGCTTTGATTCTAGGTGAACTATAAATCCCAGCAACTACAACTCCCAAATGTCAAGGTCTATTTTCCCCAATCTCCACCACTGTTCACATTTGGACATATTGAGTATCCATGCCAAGTTTGGTCCAGATACATCTTTGTTGGAGTTTGCAGTGCTCTCTGTATATAGGTGAACTACAACTTCCAAACTCAAGATCAAACCCTTCCAGTATTGTCTATTGGTCATGAGAGTTCTGTGTGCCAAGTTTGGTTCCATTCCATCATTGGTGGGGTTCAGAATACTCTTTGATTGCAGGTGAACTATAAATCCCAGCAACTACAACTCCCAAATGTCAAGGTCTATTTTCCCCAATCTCCACCAGTGTTCACATTTGGACATATTGAGTGTCCATGACAAGTTTGGTCCAGATCCATCATTGTTTGAGTCCGCAGTGCTCTCTGTATATAGGTGAACTACAAATCCCAAACTCAAGGTCAACGCCCATCAAATCCTTCCAGTATTTTTGTCAGTCATGGAAGAGTTCTGTGTGCCAAGTTTGGTTCAATTCCATCATTGGTGGAGTTCAAAATGCTTTGATTGTAGGTGAACTATAAATCCCAGCAACTACAACTCCCAAATGACAAAATCAACTCGTTCCCCAACCCTTCCAGTATTCAAATTGGGACGTATCAGGTATTTGTGCCCAATTTGGTCCAGTGAATTAAAATATATCCTGTATATCTAAGTCATATCCTTCTTTGAGAGATAAGTAAATAACAACAACAACAACAACAACAAAAGCAACACTGGCCAACACACAGTTTGGTGCCTCAAATGTATAGAAGATATATCTCTCCAAGAATTATTAGGAGGCTAATGCTACCCTATATTCTCATCTCTTGCCCTATAGCAGTGTTTCCCAAGCTCTGATCGTGCAAATGTTTGGGACTTCAGGTCCCAGAATCCCCAAGCATTGACCAAAGCAGTTAGGGATTCTGGGAGTTGGGAGTACAAAACGAACCAGTGTCCTATAGGAATGAATCACTACAAATAATAATAGCAACGAGAAAGAGATAGAATCATAGAGTTGGAAGAGACCTCATGGGACTTCCAGTCCAACCCCATTCTGCCAAGAAGCAGGACAATTGCCTTCAAAGCACCCCCGACAGATGGCCATCCAGCCTCTGCTTAAAAGCCTCCAAAGAAGGAGCCTCCACCACTCTCCAGGGCAGAGAGTTCCACTGCTGAACAGCTCTCACAGTCAGGAAGTTCTTCCTAATGTTCAGATGGAATCTCCTTTCTTGTAGTTTGAAGCCATTGTTCCGCATCCTAGTCTCCAGGGCACCAATACTTTCATAGGGCTGTTCTACCAAACCCCTTGACATTTGAGTACCGACCCATCTGGACACATTCAAGCTTTGTCAATGACTCACGATTTATTACGGCCCCCATCCTGTCTCCTTCATCTCCTTTCTTTCTTGTAGTTTGAAGCCATTGCTCCATTGCATCCTAGTCTCCAGGGAAGCAGAAAACAAGCTTGCTTCCTCCTTTTCCCTGTGGCTTCCTCCTACATATTTATACATGGCTATCATATCTCCTCTCAGCCTTCTCTTCTTCAGGCTAAACATGCCCAGCTCCTTAAGCCGCTCCTCATAGGGCTTGTTCTCCAGACCTTTGATCATTTGAGTTGCCCTCCTCTGGACACATTCCAGCTTGTCAACATTGTCAATTGTGGTGCCCAGAATTGGATACAGTATTCCAATTACTATCACAATGTCCACCTAAAAGTTTGAACCAAGTTCACATCAATCACACATTATTATTATTATTATTATTATTATTATTATTATTATTATAGTGGTTCCCAGAATTGGACACAGTATTCCAGGTGTGGTCTAACCAAGGCAGAATAGAGCATGGGGAGCATGACTTCCCTGGAATCTAGACACTATAGAGGTCCAAATCCCGTTGGCTTTTTTTGTCGCCGCATCACATTGTTGGCTCAGGTTTAACTTGTTGTCCACGAGGACTCCAAGATCTTTTTCACACGTACTGCTCTCGACATGTTATAACGCAGGATCAATTAACCGAGAAACGTTAATTGATGCTTTGGATGGGGTCGGACTCCACCTCCCATCATCCCCGTTGGAACCGCACTCACCTTGTGTAAGAGAGGTCGAACCGGATGGGCATCTGGAAGTCCAGCTGAATGGTGGCACATTGGTGGAGCCGCCCCAAGGCGTCTTTGATCTGAATGTCAACCTGGAAAAGACGGTCATACGAGGGTTGAATGAAAAGTAATGCCTCCACCTACGTTACGTGGGTTTGGATGGGAATATTTTAATAAATCAAACGCAGAAATAATCCTTTCTCTTTAACGACAACTATTCACTTTTCCACATCATCACCAGACAATTGGATACGTTTATGCCAACGATGAACGAGTTATCTGAAGCCGTCACGGAAGAAGTTGTCACTGTTTCGGTAAATGGAACTGTAGAGGAGAGTCTACTGAACAAGCCAGTACCTGCCACATACCAGTACTGCCACCTGTTGAGGAGTTACGAAGGTGGGGGCATTACTTTTCACTTTAACAACGCAACCGTTGAATGCTAAGGCTTCCCGCCCAAATGGAACTGTAGAGGAGAGTCTACTGAACAAGCCAGTACCTGCCGGTACCTGTGCCGCCATCTGTTGAGGAGTTACGAAGGCGGAGGCATTACTTTTCATTCAACCCTCGTAAAAAAGAGGATGCTGCCTGCCATATACAATAGCCATCCCCATTCATCCCATCTTCCAAAAATAACTTACTGGTGTGGGAAAAATCCAAAAATATCAAGTCAAGTCTCAATTTGCTGCACTATACACACACACATACAGTCCTGTATCATAATTAATATAATATCTGCCACTGAAATGCAAAGGATGTGGTAATTAGAACACATTTGCATGCACTTCCAGCTCTGGGTGAAACTCCCAAGCTTATTCTGCATCATCATCATCATCATCATCATCATTATTATTATTATTATTATTAATAGGTCTATCTGTATTGTCATTGATGCAATATCCTCTGCCCCTGTATTGCAAAGGATCTGGCAATTGGTACACATTTGCATGCACTTTCAGCTCTGGGTGAAATTCCCAAGCTTTTTCCGCATTCTTGTTGTTGTTGTTGTTGTTATTATTATTAGTCCTATCTCTATTGCCATTGATGAAATATCTTCTGCCTCTGTAATGCAAAGGATATGGCGATTGGCACACGTTTGCATGCATTTCCAGCTCTGGGTGGAATTCCCAAGCTTATTCTGCATTATTATTATTAGTAGTAGTAATAATAATAATATTCCTATCTGTATTGCCATTGATGCAATATCCTCTACCACTGAAATGCAAAGGATGTGGCAATTGGCACACATTTGCATGCACTTCCAACTCTGAGTGAAATTCCCAAGCTTATTCTGCATTATTATTATTATTATTAGTAGTAGTAATAATAATAATAATAATAATAATAATATTCCTATCTGTATTGGCATTGATGCAATATCTTCTACCACTGAAATGCAAAGGATGGGGCAATCAGCACACATTTGTATGCACTTCCAGCTCTGGGTGAAACAATAATAATAATAATAATAATAATAATAATTATTATTATTATTATTATTTCACCCAGAGCTGGAAGTGCATACAAACGTGTGCCACCTGCCACATCCTTACATCCTTTGCATTTCTATTATTATTATTATTGTGTTTATTTATATCCTTTTTCTCTCCACAAGAAGACCCAAAGTAGCTAAATTCCCAAGCTTATCTGTATCAGGTCATGTATTTTCGTCCTCATTCACGACAGATATCAAGTTATGCCTAAGCAGGACCCTCAACCACCTTTTGCCCTTAAACTTGGACCAAATTATGACATTGCTTGTTTGTTGCATTTTGTCTGGCACTGTTTCACCCAAAGCAATTTCCCAAACGAAATGAGCCACAATTCCAAAGTACTGACCTTTGGCCCATAGAAGGCCCCGTCTCCAGGGTTGAGCTCCCAAGGCTGGCCGAAGTCTCGAAGACTCTTTTCCAGCAGCTGGGAAAAAAGAACAGCCCATGTGAAAAAGAACTTGGGAGTCTTCGTGGTCAACAAGTTGAACATGAGCCAACAGTGTGATGCTGCAACTCAAAAAGCCAATGCGATTTTGGGCTGCATCCAAAGGAGTCTAGTGTCTAGATTGAGGGAAGTCATGGTGTCTCTCTATTCTGCTTTGATTGTGCTTTTCCTGCCTGTCAGGGGGTTGGACTGGATGGCCCCTTGGAGTTACTATTATTACTACTACTACTGCTGCTGCAGAGGCTGGATGGTTATCTGTAAGGAGTGCTTTGATTGTGCTTTTCCTGCCTGGCAGGAGGTTAGACTGGACGGCCCCTGTGGTTGCCATTATTATTATTATTATTATTATTATTATTATTATTATTATTATTCTATATTATTACAGCATATAAATGTCGTAAATAAGTAATAAATACTACTACTACTGCAGAGGCTGGATAGTCATCTGTCGGGGGTTGCTTTGATTGTGTTTTTCCTGTCTGACAGGGGGTTGGATTGGGTGGTCACTGGCGTTGCTATTATTATTATTATTATCATTGCTATTATATTATTATTATTGCAGAGGCTGGATGGTCATCTGTAAGGAGTGCTTTGATTGTGCTTTTCCTGCCTGGCAGGAGGTTGGACTGGACGGCCCCCGTGGTTGCCATTATTATTATTATTATTATTATTATTATTATTATTATTATTATTATTATTCTATATTATCACAGCATATAAATATCGTAAATAAGTAATAAATAGTACCACTACTGCAGAGGCTGGGTGGTCATCTGTTGGGGGTTGCTTTGATTGTTTTTTTCCTGTCTGACAGGGGGTTGGACTGGGTGGTCACTGGCGTTGCTGTTATTATTATTATTATTATTATTATTATTATTATTATTATTGCAGAGGCTGGATGGTCATCTGTAAGGAGTACTTTGACTGTGCTTTTTCCTACCTGGCAGGGGATTGGACTGGATGGCCCCTGTGGTTGCCATTATTATTATTATTATTATTATTATTATTATTATTACTACTACTACTACTAGTACTACTACTACTACTACTGCAGAAGCGGGATGGTCATCTGTCAGGGGTTTCTTTGATTGTGCTTTTCCTGCCTGGCAGAGGGTTACACTGGATGGACACTGGAGTTGCTATTATTATTATTACTGCTATTATATTATTATTATTATTATTATTATTATTATTATTATTATTGCTGATGTTGAATGGGCATCTGTAAGGGATGCTTTGATTGTGTTTTTCCTGCCTGGCAGGGGGTTGGACTGGATGGTCACTGGAGTTGCTATTATTATTATTACTGCTATGATATTATTATTATTATTATTATTATTATTATTATTAATTATTATTATTGCAGATGTTGGATGGGCATCTGTAAGGGATGCTTTGATTGTGTTTTTCCTGCCTGGCAGAGGGTTACACTGGATGGTCACTGGAGTTGCTATTATTATTATTACTGCTATGATATTATTATTATTATTATTATTATTATTATTATTAATTATTATTATTGCAGATGTTGGATGGGCATCTGTAAGGGATGCTTTGATTGTGTTTTTCCTGCCTGGCAGGGGGTTGGACTGGATGGTCACTGGAGTTGCTATTATTATTATTACTGCTATGATATTATTATTATTATTATTATTATTAGATGTTTGATGGTCATCTGTAAGGGATGCTTTGATTGTGCTTTTCCTGCCTATCAGGGGGTTGGACTGGATGGTCACTGGAGTTGCTATTATTATTATTATTATTATTATTATTATTATTACTATTATTATTATTATTGCAGAGGCTCAACAGTCTGTCGGGGATGCTGTGACCGTGCTTTTCCAGCCTAGCAGAATGGGGTTGGGCTAGATGGCCCTTGGGAGTCCCTTCCAACTCTATAATTCTGTAAGAAAACGAGACAATCCTGGCCGAGGCTCCCGCGTTGGGGTGGAGTGATGGGAGGTCAATATTTGCCTTCCGCGTCCCCCTCCCCGACCCCTTTGGCAAGAAGAAGCCCGGAAGGGGGTAAACGGTGTTTACTGAGCAAACAGGGCCCTCCCTGAAGCATGTCCAAGGCACACACAGGCTTTAATCCCCTGCTTCCATTTGATTTCCAAGGGGAGCAATGCGAGAATGAGTAGCACTCCTCTGCATTTAAAGCCAAAGAGTTGGTGTTGTCCATAGACACCTCCAAGGTCATTTGGCCTGCATGACCGCACGGAGCACCGTTACCTTTCTGCCTGAGTGGTACCTAATAATAATAACAATAATAATTGATCTACTCACATTTGCATCTTATCGAACTGCTAGGTTGGCAGAAGCTGGGGCTAACAGCAGGAGCTCACCCCGCTCCCTGGATTCGAACCGCCGACCTTTCGGTCAGCACGTTCAGCATCTCAGCGATTTAACCCGCTGTGCCACTGGAGAATTATTATTACCGATTCTGCCCGGTCCCAAAGATGAATTTCTCCGAGGAATTTTTCGGGGCGAGTCGAAAGATAGAAGCGGAGGGTGAACCCAAAAACAGAGTATACGGCTTGGAGGAAGTCCAGGCAGCTTCGGATCTCTCCTTCCAGCTGAGGAAGGACAAAACAGTATCACAACAACAATAACAATAGTAAGAAATAGTAATAATAATAATAATAATAATAATAATAATAATACATCACACAGTCCTAGACGCTTGGGAAGTGTTCGACTTGTGATTTTGTGATACAAAATCCAGCATAGAGATCTCGTTTGCTGTGATGTACTGTGTTTTATATACATGAAAACATACACATATGTTCCAGAAGCATTCTCTCCTGACGCTTCACACACATCTATAGCAAGCATCCTCAGAGGTTGTGAGGTCTGTTGGAACCTACGCAAGTGGGGTTTATATATCTGTGGAATGACATCCAGGGTGGGAGAAAGAACTCTTGTCTACTTGAGGCAAGTGTGAATGTCGCAATTGGCCACCTTGATTAGCACTTAATAGCTTTGCAGCTTCACCGCCTGGCTACTTCCTGCCTGGGGGAATCCTTTGTTGGAAGGTGTTCCCTGGCCCAGATTGTTTCCTGTTTGGAATTCCCAGACCTTCCAACAAAGAATTCTTTGTTGGGAGGTATTAGCTGGCCCCGATTGTTTCCCCAGACCTTCCAACAAAGGATTCCACTTGTTCTACTGTCCACAGAGTAGAATCAATGCACTTTTGACACCACTTGAAATGCCACGGCTCAATTAGAATAATAATTGTTCTAATAATAATAATTAAAATAATTGTTCTAGTTATAATTATGATAATAATAGTTCTAATAATTTAATAATTGTTCTAATAGTTTGATCCTTGCTTCCTGCCTGGGGGGAATCCTTTGTTGGGAGGTGTAAGCTGGCCCTGATTGTTTTCCCAGACCTTCCAACTAAGGATTCCACTTGTTCTACTGTCCAAAGAGTAGAATCAATGCAGTTTTGACACCACTTAAATGCCACGGCTCAATTAGAATAATAATTGTTCTAATAATAATAATAATAATGATAATAATAATATAACCGTTCTAGTTATAATTATGATAATAATTGTTCTAATAATTTCATAATTGTTCTAATAGTTTGATCCTATTTTAAACTGCCATGGCTCAATGCAATGGGATCCTGGGAGTTGTAGTTTTACAAGGCCTTTAGCTTTCTCATTTCGCCTGTACCTGCTTCCTTTCTCACCTGATCCATGGCGCAGAAGATGTGGGCGTCGTCCTGCTGGAAGCGGCGCACACGCGTCAACCCCGACAGGGCTCCCGAAGGCTCATTTCGGTGCAGGACGCCAAAGTCCGCCAGGCGGAGAGGGAGCTCCCGCCACGATCGAGGTCGATGGCCAAACATGAGGCTAAGCAAGATAGAGAGAGCAGTGACGATTCATATTTGAGCTGTTCAACAGTGGAACTCACTGCCTGGTGATGCTAATGATAATATTGGGGTGTTGTGTGGTTTCCGGGCTGTATAGCCGTATTCGAGCAGACATTTCGCCTGCATCTGTGGCTGGCATCTTCAGAGGAGATTATTATATAAGGCCTTATTGGTGGTGGCCCCTAAATGTGAGACTCTCAAAAAAAAAAACTCACCAGTGAGCAGGACAGTTCATAGGTTTGAGGGCAAAGGTTTCCCCCTCCAGTGGGAAGGAGAACATGTTCTCTTCGTAATGCTGCCAATGACCGGACGTTTCCCAAAGCTTGGAGTTGAAAATATTGGGGGTGATGACCTCGGAGAAGCCACGTTTCAAGTATTCGCTCTGGAAGAGAAAAACCCAAACAAGGGTCATTTCAATAATAATAATAATAATAATAATAATAATAATAATAATAATTTTTTGTGATTGATGTGAACTTGCCTCCAACTTTTAGGTGAACATTGTGATAGCAAAAGTGCTAATAATTATTGTTTTTGTTATTTGAAAACCCCAAACAGATGGGCCATTTCAATAATAATATTAATAATAATAATAATTATTATTATTATTATTATTATTATTATTTTGTGTGATTGATGGGAACTTGGCTCCAACTTTGAGGTGGACATTGCGATAGCAAAAGTGCTAATAATTATTGTTTTTGTTATTTGAAAACCCCAAACAGATGGGCCATTTCAATAATAATATTATTAATAATAATAATAATAATAATAATAATTATTATTATTATTATTATTTTGTGTGATTGATGGGAACTTGGCTCCAACTTTGAGGTGGACATTGCGATAGCAAAAGTGCTAATAATTATTGTTTTTGTTGTATTGTCGAAGGCTTTCATGGCCGGAATCACTCAGTTCTTGTGGGTTTTTTCGGGCTATATGGCCATGTTCTAGAGGCATTTCTCCTGACGTTTCGCCTGCATCTATGGCAAGCATCCTCAGAGGTCTGCTGGAGCTGGGAAAAGGGGTTTATATATCTGTGGAATGACCAGGGTGAGACAAAAGGCTTTTGTAAGTTGGGCTAGGTGTGAATCTTTTCAACTGACCGCCTTGATTAGCATACAATGGGCTGACAGTGCCTGGAGCAAACTCTTCTTGAAAGGTGATTAGATGTCCCTGCCTGTTTTTCTCTCTGCTGTTTGTAATAATAATAATAATAATAATAATAATAATAATAATAAATAAACAAACAAACCAGACTTTGAAGCTGCAAGGCCATTCAGTGCTAATCAAGCTGGCCAATGGCAATATTCACACTTGCCTCAAGCAGACAAGAGTTCTTTCTCCCACCCTGGACATCACTCAACAATTATATAAATAATAATAATAATAATAAATAAACAAACAAACCAGACTTTGAAGCTGCAAGGCCATTCAGTGCTAATCAAGCTGGCCAATGGCAACATTCACACTTGCCTCAAGCAGACAAGAGTTCTTTCTCCCACCCTGGACATCATTCAACAATTATATAAATAATAATAATAATAATAATAATAATAATAATAATAATAATAATAAATAAACAAACCAGACTTTGAAGCTGCAAGGCCATTCAATGCTAATCAAGCTGGCCATTGGCAACATTCACACTTGCCTCAAGCAGACAAGAGTTCTTTTTCCCACCCTGGACATCACTCAACAATTATATAAATAATAATAATAATAATAATAATAATAATAATAAAAAATAAATAAACAAACCAGACTTTGAAGCTGCAAGGCCATTCAATGCTAATCAAGCTGGCCAATGGCAACATTCACACTTGTCTCAAGCAGACAAGAGTTCTTTCTCCCACCCTGGACATCACTCAACAATTATATAAATAATAATAATAATAAATAATAATAATAATAATAATAATAATAATAAATAAACAAACCAGACTTTGAAGCTGCAAGGCCATTCAATGCTAATCAAGCTGGCCAATGGCAACATTCACACTTGCCTCAAGCAGACAAGAGTTCTTTCTCCCACCCTGGACATCATTCAACAATTATATAAATAATAATAATAATAATAATAATAATAATACACCTCTGAACAAAAGATTCCCCCAGGCAGCAATCAACCAGACTTTGAAGCTGCAAGGCCATTCAGTGCTAATCAAGCTGGCCAATGGCAACATTCACACTTGCCTCAAGCAGACAAGAGATCTTTCTCCCACCCTGGACATCATTCAACAATTATATAAATAATAATAATAATAATGATAATAATGATAATAATGATAATAATAATAATAATAATAATAAATAAAACTTTATTTATATTCCGCTCTAGCTTCCTGATGTTTCTCACCTTGATGAAGTCGACCAGGGTGGTGTAGATGTGAGCTCCTTTGGGGAGGAAGAAGCAGCTCCCGGGGCTGAGCTCGTGGAAGAAGAAGAGCTCTTGCTCCTTCCCGATGCGCCGGTGGTCCCGCCGAGCCGCCTCTTCCTGCGCCCGTTCCCATTCTGCCAGTTGCACAGAACTGGGGAAGGAGATGCCGTAGATGCGCTGCAGCGCCTCCTGGGAAGGGTCTCCCTTCCAGTACGCAGAGGCGTTCTGCGACGGACAAAAGGAGCAGAAATTTAGCACGTTCGGGAACAAAACTCACATCCGATTCATATCACCCCATCAAAACTGGACAGAAATGCACAAGAATTGTGATAAGAAGTGCTGGAAAGGCACATATTAACATATATGGTGGATTTGCAAAAAAAGCCAAAGCCTTTTAGATTGCAGTTGGCAAAGTACTGCAAACTAGGTTGCTTTTAGTTTTCCAGGCTGCCTGGCCATGTTCCAGAAGCATTCTCTCCTGACGTTTTGCCCACATCTATAGCAGGCATCCTCAGAGGTTGTGAGGTCTGTTGGAAACTAGGAAAACAGGCATTCCCAACAAAGGATTCCCCCAGGCAGGAAGCAGCCAGGCTTTGAAGTTGCAAGGCCATTCAATGCTAATCAAGGTGGCCAATGGCAACATACACACTTGCCTCAAACAGACAAGAGTTCTTTCTCTTCCACCTCGATTATCACAGATCCATTTCTTTCCATGCTCTCTCCTTTTGCGGAAAAAGAACTCGGAAGGGGCCGGCCGACCCCTCTCCTTCTTCCTTTCTTTCCTTCTCTCCTCTTTCTCTCTTTTTTTCCTTTTCTCTCCCTTTTTCTTCTTTTCTTCTCTCCTTCCTCCTTCTTTTTTTCCCCCTTTTCCTGCC